TCTCAACAGCTAAACATTTGATATATATAAATACGCTGGTTGTCTGAACCAGGCCGTATAGTTATTGAATTATACAGTTGTCCTCCAGGTTGAGCGGGAAAATCTACTTCGTTTCGTTTTCATCCCGTGGTTGTTGGCATACGATAACCAACCAATATTGAGGTAAGTACAACTTTTACAAGGTATTGAAAGCTGTTTTAGAAAAATTAAAGTGCTAAGGTGAATCAATAAAGTGCAATGAAATAGGTAAGTACAAGTATCATTAATAAATGTATTAATAAAGGAAACTCCCTAGGCTGACAACGTTCATTCGCAATGTATAATGCTACCCATATAGTTCTTACTATCACGATGTTCACTTTTAATTTCAATACATTTATCCTCATGCCGGTTTTTTATTTTTTTTATTTTATACCTCGCCCGCCAATGGCTACCAAGGTCAATGAACCAACGTCCAATGTTCATATTCCTTGACATTCACCATGAACCGGCTGAAATTATCCGTAACTTATCAAGGTCATTGGTGGAGTGAGACGCTCGAAGGTCATTTTTGTCCATATCAGTCGGCCATGTTGGGTTGCAGTTACATAGCTCTTCGTGTACGCGTTTGTTGTTCCGTTTATCCTGCCGTTATACACGACGTATCTTGTTGCGTATTGTTCACAAATGTTGCGTTTCACCTCATTTTTGTTTCTGTCCGCGCGAACTTTGAAAAGGGAGTTAATTTTCACGCTCTTGTTTATAATTGGATTTTGTTGTGTTATAAGCTTCAAAAGTCCACAGATTTAACTTTAAATCAGTTTATTCTGGTCGAAGTTAGTTTACGTTTCAGATCTGAGTCTATCAATTATAATAAGTGTTCTTATAACATAATAGCCACATATATCTATCTTTGTGCACTCATTAGCTTTTATCACTGATTTACAAAGGTTTATATATATATTTGAAGTTGTATTTAACTTTTCCTGGTTCTTTTTAAATAAAATGCCTATTAAAAGAAACCGCTGCGGAAGGGCTATGTGCCAGTTTCCAGTGGATGAGGGAATGCAGTGTGATAACTGCAAGAGATGGTTTCACAGTATGTGCACGAACCTTACTCCTGCAGCATACAAACGCTGCTGCAAACCTCTAGCGAACTGGTTATGCAACGACTGCTGTAGTACAACTAAACTCCGTATTACAGAAGCCATAGCTACTCTTAGTGGGGCTTTAAAGCTCATGGACTGCAAGCGTCCTCCACCACAGAAGAATACCGACTATTGCCTAGATAGCGATGACGTGACTAGCGTCATTGACAAAACAGCACATGTCCCAGATGCGACCTTGCCAATAAGTGAGTGCTCTACAGCACAGAAGAACACCCACCATATTACAGACACCCAGGTCGCCCCCACGATACTGGATGAGCCCTCCAGTGACAGTAATGGAAAGACTGCTGTGAAGAAGAGGCGTACTAGGGGTCGAAAACCTGCAGCTCCAGTCGCCCAGGGACTGGCGGAACAAGCCTCATCCACACCGGTGAGCAGCAGACAGACGAACCCCACTAAGATTAGCGAGGAGGACGCCAATGAATGGCGCACCGTAGCCTCTCGCAAAAAGCGAGATAAGGATAACACTTCGGCCACACCGCCCAAGAAGGATAGAAGCACACTTACGCCTCAGGGCAAGAAAGTAACGCAAAGCAAACCCGATCTCTCTGATAGGTCTCTCATTCTCCACAAAGTGGAGGAGTCACTGGCTCTCGACCTTAAGACCAGATTCGAGCATGACCTTAACTTGGTCAAGCCCCTTTTAGACAAGCTACTGCCACAAACAGTATCAGGCATTACTATACACAGCGTATACAGAATAGGTCAAAAGCCTGACCCTACAGTAAGTGAACCTGTACGTCTCCTCAAAGTCGTACTAAACTCTAAAGCGGAGAGGGACGCTATTCTAAGCAACTCTCATATTCTCAAAGGATCAGGGATATATGTCCGCGCTGACTTAAGCCTGGCAGACCGTGTCAAAAGACAGGCTGCGGCACTAGAATTAAGTGAGCGACGCCGGAACGGTGAGAAGAACCTTAAGATTAAGGGTTTTCGGGTTGTCCGAGTTCGCAGTTTAATGATCCCGAAACCTCTGTGGGTGGGCCGGGGAAGCACCAATCTGAATTAACAGTCTGCTACACAAACGCCCGCAGCCTGTTAAATAAAAGGACTGAGCTGGCAAACATGATAGAAACCGGAAACCCGGATGTAATTATTATCACAGAGACATGGCTCACACCCGATGTCACTGACAACGAAGTTAACCTGCCAAACTTCGAAGTGCACAGGGTAGACCGACTAAACCGCAAAGGAGGGGGCGTAGTCATCTACCTCAAGAAAGGCTTAACCGTGCGTAGTATCGAAGCACTCGCCCACGAAAGTGAGTCGTGCGAACTTCTACGCTGCAGACTTAAATGCATAGGCCAAGACATTGACCTCATTGCTGTGTACCGCAGTCCTGACTGCAGTGCAGACGACTTCCTAATAGAGAAGCTAGGCTCCTGGACTTCAAAATGTCGAAGTCTCGTAGTCGGTGACTTCAACGCCCCAACAGTTGACTGGTCGAGCCTAACAACTCCATCTTCAGTCAACTCCTTTGACCATAAACTGCTAGAATCTAGTATATCGCTAGCCCTAGTCCAACATATCATTAAGCCCACGCGCTATGACTCACAGCACTCCTCATCAACTCTGGACCTAGTGTTCTCACACGGTGAGGATGTGGATCTCATACAACATCTTCCTCCGTTAGGAAGAAGTGACCATGCTGTGCTCACTTTCAAGTTCACAGCAACGGCAGCAAGGGCCAAAACCCCAGCTCGACCAAACGTTTGGAAAGCTGACATAAATGCGATCGTCTCAGCAGCCAACTCAGTAAACTGGTACATCAATCCAGAGTCCCAAGTAGAAGCCGCATGGAACCAATTTAAGCAACTTTACGCCCAAGTAACTGTACCCTTCATCCCTTGGTCTGTTCCAAAGGGTCGGAAACATTCCCCCCCTTGGATAAACCGGGAGATTCGTAAGTTACTCAGACGTAAACGCAAATGTTGGAACCTGTTTGCAACACTTGAGACTTCTGAGACCAGGGAATTATATACTACTGCTAGAAATAAAGCTATCGCAGAAATCCGCCAATCAAGGATGAAGTTCGAGACACACCTGGCCCAAAATGCAAAGGCACAACCTAAGAAAATTTTCTCGTACTTGAATTTCAGGAATAAAACACCCAATGGTGTCCCAAACCTGATTATTGACAAAGATACAATCGAAGAAGATCAAGAAAAAGCAGAAGCAATGGCAAACTACTTCTCCCAAGTCTTCACTCAGGAGTCATCACTGCCTATAGGATCAGCTCTGGCTGCATCAGAAGAACATGGGATAGATTCCGTTGACATCGACCAAGGCATCGTGCTCAACTTCTTAATGAAACTAGATGCAGGAAAATCAATGGGTCCTGACAGTCTTCATCCAAGGCTTCTCAAGGAGCTATCAGCCCACATAGCCGGCCCCTTGACCACGATCTTCAAGCTATCTCTCCTAAATGGAGTGTTGCCACGTGATTGGAAAGACGCCATAGTAACCCCCATACACAAAGGAGGATCAAGACAAAGCCCTTCAAATTACAGGCCTATCAGTCTCACCAGCACTTTAATCAAGACACTGGAAAGAATTATCAAGAAAAGCATCATGGCTTATCTGGAAAATAGCAGCTTGTTATCTGGAGCACAGCATGGCTTCCGGAGGAACCTCTCATGCCTGTCAAATCTCCTCACTGCAAGAGAAAGCTGGGTCAAATCAAAGGATAACAGAAGACCCGTTGACGTCGTCTTCATAGACTTCAGTAAAGCCTTTGATAGAGTACCTCACAAAAGACTACTCATGAAATTGGAAAGTCTTGGTATCAAAGGCAGACTACTAGATTGGCTCAGGGAATTCCTCATAGATAGGAGGCAGAGTGTTAGGATCAACTCGAAACTCTCCTCTTGGACAGCAGTACGTAGCGGAGTGCCACAAGGCACGATACTCGGTCCTCTCCTATTTATTCTGTATATCAATGAGTTACCTCTGCTCACCGACTCCCCTATGGTCCTATACGCAGATGACTTAAAAATTTGGAGGGAGCTGAAGGGCAACAGTGATACGTCCACGTTGCAAGACGACCTCAACAAACTGTCGGAGTGGTCCACTGAATGGATGCTCCCGATCAATGTGGCAAAATGTGCAACCATGTGCATTGGACAATCAAGCACAAGCTCCTACGAACTAGAGGGAATAACACTTCCATCAGTTCAGACTCACTTGGACTTAGGCGTCATAGTTAGCCACGACTTAAAAACTACAGCACACTGTCGCGCGGTGGCTGCACGTAGTTTCATATCCTTATGGGCGATTCGCAGAGCCTTCACTAGAATCACCAGAGATATGTTCACCTCCTTATATACATTTCTGGTTAGGTCAAGACTGGAAAACTGCATCCAGGCCGCCAGTCCTTGTCTAAAAGGGGATTCACACATTCTAGAAAGTGTTCAAAGGAAGGCAACACGTATGGTTCACGGCATAGCTAACTTATCATATGACGAAAGACTAAACAGTTGAAATCTCTTCTCACTGTCATACCGTAGGCAGAGAGGAGATTTAATCACAATGTTTAAAATTTTAAATAATGACTACGGACCTAACCTATTCTCTCCTTTCCTTCCCACCAGGTCGGAACACCTTAGAGGACATAGCAGGAGAGTTCAAAAGCCAAGGAGAAATCATATTGCTGTTGAGTACTGGTTCTCACATCGAGTCATAAACTCTTGGAACCGACTCCCAGAAGAAGTGCTGTCTGCAACCTCAACTGATTCGTTCAAGAAGGGTTTGGACAACCACAGAAATCTACTAGAAAAGGATTAACACAGGCTCCAAGCTTTCTATCCTCAACCAATAAATCTGAATCTGAAATCTGAATCTTCTGTTGCTGTTAAAATGAATTATTTCTTTGGTTTTGGAACTTTTCACTACCAGGTCAGTGCATTCATTTCGGTGTAATTGTTTCACACCTTGTATTTATGCGGCTTTCAGTGTTTTAGTTGGTTTTCAGCTGTTAATGAATTGGTAATGTGTAGAAGTTTCGGAAATCATGCACATGAAGACGTTTGGTTGGCAGAAGCAGTTGTTTTCAGTCCATTTATTGGTTGCCGTTATTCTTGTTGGCTCATTTAATAACCTAAGATGTAGAAATCGTGAAAAAAGTGTCTTTCTCGTTCATGTTTACAGCATGCAACAATCTGTGAGTGAATCTGTTAGAGGGAACACTATCAGAGTTGATGTTAGCAAAGTTTTCGAAGAACAAATTAAACCTGGAAAATTTAGAACCTGGGTTGAAGTTGAAAAAGCTTTGAAGCTTTTTGAGAATGTGAATATACCATCCGTGTGTCTGCTATCATTTAAAAAAATATATTGTGAGAGAATCTAAGTCAAATAAGGTTGAGCCGCATGAAAAGTATGAGTCTGTTGTGCTTGTGTGTATTTTGGGGGAACTAAAAGAACCTGGAATCCTTAAGGGTAAGTGTTACTTATGCTTATTATTGCTTGATGTACTAGATCCAAATACATGAACGAATGTTTGGCATGCGATTCGCTCCCGCCAAATGCAAGATGATGTTACAGGACTGGACTACGCTGGCTCCTAGTTTAGAAATAGGAAGTGAAGTGGTAGAGCACGTTGACCGCTTCATTTATTTGGGAAGTACCATCAGCCCCAACGGGCTGATCTCTGACGAAATCTCAGCACGAATACAAGGGGCTCGTTTCGCATTTGTTAGTTTACGCCGACTCTGGCGTAGACGAGATGTTCGACTATCGACCAAAGGGCGGGTGTACTGCTCATCAGTCCGCTCCGTCCTCCTTTATGGTTGTGAGACCTGGCCACTCAGAGTGGAAGACATGAAAAGACTAGCTGTCTTTGATCATAGGTGCCTGCGTTCTATATCCCGTGTAAAGTGGCATAATAAGGTGAGCAACATGGAGGTTAGGCGTAGAGTCCTAGGTAAACAGGGGAAATCAATCGACGAAGTCGTGAAGCTACATCGACTGAGATGGTTAGGACATGTGTTACGTATGCCAAGCCATCGCCTCCCTCGACGAGCAATGTTAGCGGATATAGGGTCAGGCTGGAAAAAAGCTAGCGGCGGTCAAACAAAAACTTGGCATCAGTCAATGAAATCCACAACAGTTGGTCTTAGCCACGTAGGAAGGTGTAGACTTCCAGGCTGGGGTCCTCGGGACGGCAAAAATCTATGGTTGGAAACAATTGGTGACATGGCTCAAAATCGTTCTCAGTGGCGCAGATGCATCCACTCCCTGTGACTTATGATCTCCAATGAAACTGTTTTGTATTTCTTTATTACTCCTTTGTCTCACACCTCTGCTCACTGTTTCTATTATGCTTTTCTTGTACTTTCTTCTCTTGCTTCGCGTGCTACACGGAATGTGGCGACTTGAACTGTCGCACTTTTGTGCAAAGTTCTATGTCGAAAACAGACAGACAGACAGACAGACATGAACTAGGACTACCCGTAATAGAGCCAGTGTTAACATCCATTCGATGGGTTGCAAAACGGTTTTCAAAGCGGATAAAATACGATGATCTGGTGAGTGTACGAACAATCCCAGTTAAAGGTAAGACATTAATTAGGAAAAATAACGTTCCAGGTTGTAGTCTACGATCGGTGGTTTCCTCGAAGTTGTGATTTTTCCGTGATTATAAACACATGTTCACGATCTTTAAAAAAAAAATTTTCCTTGAACCAGTAGTCTTCTTTTCTTTGGCGAAACATCCGTTGATACGATTATACGATTAGGTAGCGAAGTAAGATGTTATGTGACTGAGAATCGTGGTTGTCGTGTTTTGGACTAATTTCGCGCATCTGGCTGTTATAACCGCATGGATATAGTGTTTCCTTCATGGTACATTATGATACCTAGAAATCATAAGCACTTCGAGTTGCCATCGGTAGATTTATTTTTCCTTTTTAAATGACTGCAAATAGTGAGTCGTCTGAGGTGATAGGATGAATACCTCTAAACGTTTTTGGGGAGACTAGGGTATATTTAATTTTTCGAGTAAGGGACGATCTTTTTACCAAGACAGTTCTCAGAATTTTCGTTATTCAAAGTTAACGCTAAGTTGCCCACTAAGGTGGTAGCTATAGGAGATTACCTTCAGCGGAAACTACATTAATGTAGTTTTAGGTAACGCGTCATAGGCATCGTAGGTTAATTGTGTTTACATGTATTAAACGTTGTATAACTGATCAAACCATAGTTCTTACGTACGAGTTAGTTTTATAAATAGTGAATGTACCGTACAAGCGTGTACCTTGATTTGCATACCTAGCTCATAAACATTATGCCTGCATGTAGAATACATTTAGGGCCAATACGCTGTGGTGAATTAGTCCGAGATACTTCAAGTCAGACTTCATTTCCATATCACTATTATCAATTTTGCAACGGTCATAGGAATTAACACCTTCAACTAACTTTCGTTTACATCGGAAACTGAAAATAACAGTCTGACATTTCGAGGGATTTAGTGTAAGAGCATTTTCCCACTCCTAATAGAGAGCTGTTCATCTTAGTACAGTGTAGCTGGCAGTTAACAGACATTGAAGTAGTTAGATCGTCCGCGTGTTTGAATAAGTTCTCGTATGCATTCGTACAATAAGTTCATCAAACAAAAATACAATTGGTAATGGACGACTTCCCCCTGACCTACAGTGTACTGCTTTCTCCCTGATAAATAAGAATGAAGCCATCTAACATTCCAATACTCAGTTTGAGTTTCAGCAAGCTTATCTAACAGAATATCTCTAGGTACTGAGTCGAAAGCAGATGTGTATTCTAGGAAGGTGCAGCGAATTTAGCCCCATTGTCTATACTGGAGAAAATGTTGTGAAGCAAGACTGCAGCTGCATCTAAAGTACGTCTACTGTGTTTATAGGAGAACTGTTTGGGATCGTTAAAGGCTCTAAGTGAAGGTTGAAGATTAAGTAAGAGTAACTTTCCCTTAGTTCGTATATACGTCATTTGATTTGAAACAAAGGAAGCAGGTCTTATGAACGCTTGTAACACTAGAAAGTTTGGCATTTATGGGAGAATTTATGAAAGACTTGTTTAGTTTACACACACCAAATGAATAGGAAATACTGGAGGTAATTACATGCATACAGGCGTAGGTTATTTAACATCTATAAAGTAGACATGCAAATACCGCAGTTTTTGATCACAGAAATGATGGATACTAGATAACATCCTATGATTCAACGGCATATTAAAATAAATAAAAAATGTTTCTTAGCTGATCGTCAAGTAAACAGTCTATTTGATGATGTCACTGCATATTAACAGATTAGTGAAGTAGATATCAAGCCTAAGTTACTACATTTACTTGTACTACATACTTGGCGTTTAACAGTATACAGACTTTCAACTGGTTAGATAAGGCGACTTTAGAGTATCCAACAGTACAGAATTATTATTCAACTTGCTAAATCCCACTTAGCTTTTACAATGTGCTATTGTGTAGAAACAGACACGAAATCCTACTAATGACTAAAGTAACATTCTCATAATACTACAGTGAATTTCCATCCCACTAACTAAGCTTAGCGTTTATTATTCCTAATTCACTTATTACAAAAGCACATTGTATAGCGAGGAATTGAAGAAGTCTACAGGAAGAAGTAATCAAGAGTATATTAAACATTTGATTAATTTACAAAAGAAAATTCTGATGAAGGGTAATAAAGTTAGTTTGACCGAATGATGTTTCCGCTGATTTCATATTCGACAACCTCCGTATACCTGGAAAAAATAAAGTACATGTTAGAACTAGCATAACATGAAGTTAACAAGAGATAATTCTACACATACAATATGAATACAATCATTCTGTTAAAACTAAGTATTATCTCAGGGAGATAAATGTATTTGTAGTCTACAGCTGATATTTATGTTGACGCCGTATACATAAATATACATCATATGTTTTCCTGCATTTGAGGACTATATGCAAATTTCAAGGCAATCTCCGAAACATTCATACTATTGAGGCGTCATTCTCTCATCAAGCTTACTTGCAGATCAACTTCACACTAAACACTTTTACATGAAATGAAGTATTGCAAGTGTATAACTTAGAAGTTAATCCACAATCTCAGTAATGTCTAGTCCACAAGGTTTTGTGAATCCTACAGAAATCACATTTTCACATTTAGGAGACTATAGGCATCAAATATAAGCTGAACATGCCTCAACTCTAGACAGCTATGCACAGTGCTAACAACATAGTGAAACACTTCAACTATTGTAAAGTACACAGACCTGTTGTGTTGATGAGGATAATAATGTCATATAATGCAAACTAGAAAATTCAATCGTCATAGAGCATCTGTACTGCTTTGTCTAAATGGAAATCTCAGGAGAAATTCATCTCCACTATTGGTGATCAAAAATATTGTAGCATTAAGTATACAGTCAGTGGAAATTGTAAAAGAGAATAAATTCATATTAATGATAATAAAGCTGAATAGATTCAGTTCTAGTAACCACCTTCGTTTGTTATCCTATCAGTCAGCTTAGTACACAATGGCACAATATTATTATAGTTGAGATATTTTTGTACATTTAATTAACATAACCCATAGCACACTGCACCAACCAGTGCCAATATATATGAAATCCATTTAGAGATAACCTTTCAACTTACCATAATTCCTGTCCAACCACAGATAAAGTGAAAAGCACATCTAAATGACAACTTAGGTTCCCACCAACGATTCTGATAACATTTGCAGGTGATTTCCAAGTATTGAGAATTATTTTGTCAAAAAAGACTGTTCTTCACACGAAAATAGGCTGTACTGATATCCTGAGACATGAAGTCTTCATTGAATGATACTATGCCGAAAGATGCAGCTTCTACATGGAGTAAATGAGTGGTGTAAATGGCATTACCCTCTAACTATCCTATCTCCCTCATTACACCGACATTTTGATACATTCCATCTGAAACACTAATCATTGCAACCAATATGCTAACAGTGCAGGTATCTTTTTCTTTATCAACGAAATCCATGAAATTCCCAAAAGTAGATATTATCTGAAAAATGACATAAGATATATACAGATATAGACATTGTTATCAGTGTTAACACAATAACTAACCATTAAATATGTTTGAAATGACGAAATAATTACTTGAATTGTATATAATTATGTAAGTCAACAGTTTTCAATAATATAAAATCCATATTGCATCTGCCTGCAAACATCAAGTGTATGCCATAAAAAAAGGAATTACTTTGCGTATATAATTTCTAAGTATTTCTGCAGATTTTTCCTACAGAAATACATATGGAGTAGCCTTGTCAGCATTACGAAAATTAAACAAGGAGTAAATGATGTAATTACCGAAACGATCGTTTCGGTAGCTCGAGCTATCCCACCTCGTCATATCCATGTGTAATCCATTAAAATGCAAAGAAAATTCACGAAAAAATCATTATAACATGTTTCTTC